TTATAAAAGCTGTTGTAAACTGTTTTAGGGTGTGGCTAAACCTACACCTAAACCTACACCTAAACAACCAGTCTGGGAACAGACTCTCAGTTGGATTTTTTTTCATTTGCTAAATTCTGCAGGAAAAAAAAAATTAAAAACCACTCAAACATTCAGAAGAGAACAAAGCAGGGGTCCTGTAGACTTTACTGCCCTGAAGTCCCCCAACCCCACTCAGCCACATGTTCAGGACAGCCACCCTGAAACCGTCCCACAAGAAGAATGGTAAGTTCAGCTACACCACCCTGCCTCATTGCTGGGGCACAGTCAAATTCTGCCTTATTAAAGTGGCTGGCTGGATGAACCCCTAAAGAAACTACAGCTTCAATTCAACCCATTGCATCATCACTTCCTGCAAATCGTAGTAAAAATGCACCAAGCCAGGTCAGAGTGGAAACCCGAAAATTCAGCGTCCTACTGAATGATCCAGGCTTTCTAGCTGGAGGTGAGAGGTCACTGCCTGTTTCTTGTGTTTTTTTCCTAGTTCAGTTGAAGACCTATTCTGCATACCTGATTCATTCCTGCCTTTTTCCTCATCAAGGGTGGCAGCAATCAGCTTTTACTCAAATTGCAGGTGAGACCAATTTGAGAAAAAGTTCCTTCATGTATTTACCCAGAAATCAGACTCAGTCAAGATCAGCTAGGATACGAGGCTGGAATGATAAACAGATTAAGGAATTACAATAATTAATTTAATCACATAGATCATTCTTTACTCCTTTCAATTTTATGCATATTTATATGGTAGGGCTACTATATTTGGGCTGCAAAACTACAGGTAGTCACTAACTGGCCCCAAAGAAATACAGAGAACTTGAACTCTTCTGTCTAGTGGTGGTCTGCATTTTTGCAGCCAAATATGAGAGCCCTAATACTGAATTAAGTGAGGCTTATTTCTATGTAAATTGATACAGACTGCACCTTTAATCACAAATCCTTTTTTCCCTGCCACCATTAAAAAAAAAAGCTCTTCAGAAAACAGTGTCATCAGCAAAGAATGGAGTAACTGGGATAGAAAATTATTGTTTTGGGGGAAGGAATTAAATATTTTAAAATATTAAAGAAACACTGTGTAAATAAATGCAAATAATGTAATAAAGTATAAGGTGAGAAATTAATATAAGTAAACACTAAGAGGCGGTGTAGTATAGTAGTTCAGATACTCACTCCATCTCTATTCTCATTTCATGTGTGATTTTGGGCCAATCAGAGTGAAACCTCAGAGGGTTGTTGTTGTGGGGGGAAAGGGGAAGAAGGAATGTTATATATGCTGCTTTGAGCTCCTGAAGGATGGCGGGCTATAAATCTGACAAATAAGAGTTTCACAAATGGCTTTAAATGGGAAGTAGCGACCCAACACAACGCAGCATAGGAAAAAGACAAGGACTTTAATTTATTTGTGAGCATGAAACCTTTATTGCTTTCAGCTGAATATTTTCCATACCATTGTTTGTTTGTTACATCAATTTATATAGCCTCTCAGCTCACAATTGTGACTCTGTGTGGGGAATTTAGGATTAAAACACCAACAAAAGAAGACACAAGGCAATAATTAATAATAACATAGTAATACAACATAATGATGTCTGAGGACTAAGTAACTCAAACCATACAAAACACAAAATCCCATTGATGGGCTCACCCAACCTCCATATGATTCTACCCCCACTCACTTCAGCAATATTATCATTAAATTCGCAGATGATACAACAGTGGTGGGG